TTATCTTGAAAAACCTCTACTAAAATCAAGGTCTTCCTCAAAGCCTACCATTTCACTGTCAGACATCTGGTTTACCTCCCCAGTTCTCCTACATGGTTTATTGGCTAAATATGAACTTCACTTAATTCTCTCTTTTCTTTCTACTACTTACAGTTTAAGTACAAACAGCTCTTCTTTCCTACAGCTAACCACAGGAAGTGGATATTTTAAAATTGCCAAATCAGATGTTTTAGTGTGTAAGGAATTATATATTTTTACAAACTTTTGATAATTAGAGCATATGAGAATGTCAATCATAGCCCTTCCCTACCTGTCTTTGAGAAAATAGAACCAACTTCATCAAAATATGAGATGAAGAATGTGGCTGAAAGATGTATCCCACTAAGTACAAAACTAACTATGACTATATTAAACATGAAGGAAGTGACTGAGGTTATTTGAAACAAACTGCAGTGAGTTAAATTCTGTTCCTCAAAATTACCAACTATGTGACTTTATGCAAGGTTCTTAGCCTCTCTGTAGCTCATCTATAAAATGGGATGTGGGAGAGCTCTGGTGGCCTAGTGGCAAGAAACTGAACTGCAATACCAGATGTGAGTGGTTCAAATCCACCAGATGCTCTGCTGGAAAAGGAGGGACAATCTCCTCCCGTACCAGTCATATCCAATTTGACAGTATGCACACACACATAATAAAATGGGATGCTTAACAGATATGGTTTAAAGGATAATTGTAAGGATTATATGTTAAGCATTTCAAACAGACTCAAACAAGGAAAATTTTCAATAAATATTGCTTGTAGTTATTTCATTGTCATAATGATTAGGAAAACTTCACATAATATGTTAACATAAAAATTAAAAGTAACTGATTCTAAAGAGATAAGTATTGCCTGTGATTTAGTTGCTGAAAATTGAATGTCTATTTAAAAGAAATCAAAATAGTTACTCATAGGGGAGCTCTGGTGGCCTAGTGGCAAGAAGCTGCAACTACAATCCCAGAGGTGCACGGTTCAAATCCACCAGATGCTCTGCCGGGGAAGAAGGGGCAATCTCCTCCTGTACCAGTCAGATCTGATTTGA